TCTGTAATCAATGGCGTATTTACGGGGGGTTATCTGGGTGATATATCCGGTGGCTACTAATTGTGTCCGTGGTAAAAATTTCTTCCGAATTGCGGCCAGTTTTTTTTTGGGGGTGCATACGAATTGCGGCCCGAAATTTAAAATTAAATTAATTTAAATATGTAAATTTAAATTTAAAAAGCCTCATTTTCCTTCGTGTTTTTATACAGAATTAAGACTGTCTGCAGCATCAGTAGATACTGCAGGTAGGTTAAAAATTATGTTTTGTTTTTATTTAAACATTTTGGCACTGTTAAAAACATATATGATATTTCTAAAGGTTAAAAAGTTTTTTTGACATTAAAATCTGATATTAAAATGTTTTTTTTTATTAAAAAATTACGGCATTGATAAAAACGTTTATGATATTTATTGAAGTTAAAAATGTTAGTATAATTTAGTAAAATTCTTAGGTATTATGGCAGTAGTAAAAAACTTGTATGATAGTATTTGTATAAATTCAAATTTGTCAATTTGGTTTTCTTCTAACCGTTTCATAGTATTTCTAATAAATGTTTCTTTTTCAATTATATTGTTATGAATAGCACATTATTATGTATATTATAATATTATATCATACTACAATGTAATTGTCATGTTATACTGTAAGTCGTCATCAGTAAAATATGTTCATGTATATATTATTACAAATATGCAGGACATAGTGTAAACTGCTGTGTGAGCGTCTAAAGGCGAATGAGACTCCCTTCTTATTCGACTGGCCCAAGGTTTATGCTGAATAAACCCTTTAGACGAGGTGCCGAGTACATGTAGACGAACACACAGTCAGTGAGTGTCCATAACACAGAGCATTCAGAGTCTTATTGTATTGTACAGAGCTTTAACACAGAGCATTACAGAACCTTTGTTAAACTTATTTTTAAAAGTCTTAATACTAAATTATAGTGAATTAATTAGTGAATCGACGTGTAGTTTATTTGTGACTGGACACACGAGTGTGTCCGTAACAATATTTGTTCTGCGAGTATTTAAGTGAGTGCTTCTTAATTTTATATAGGTATCCTTCTGTACATTTTTCAGAACATCGCTGAATACAAAAATATTAGGATGAGCACTGTAGAACAAAGCGTTGAATTTCGAATGAAAAGCCTCACAACTATTAGTAGTGCGCATAGTAGACGCCGAGTATTCTGCCCATAAAAAAGGAGGGAAATTGGACTCGTTTGAAATGTTTGTTTCCAATATATAATCAACAAATATTTCTACTTTTTCATTTCTTGGTTGAATAGCCATTATGTAATCTGTAAAACGGTCACTCACATCGTTCGAATTTAAAAACGGTAAACCAAAAAAGTATTTTAAAAATTTACCGATTTCGGTATTTTTTTTATACTCACTACTTAGCCAATTGTCTGTATTTTTCGCCACCAGCTTTGGGCTAAGTGAAATCGGCATCCTTTTAAACTAATAGAAGGCCAAAATTTTAATAGAGCTAAATGAATCCCCATTTCAAAATCAGCAAAAACTGTTTTTGGTGAAAATGTTATGTTGAGTTTGCTACATTCAGATATGATGTGCATAAACGCCTTTTCATATGTTTTAATTTCTTTATTGGGAAGTATAAAAATAAGAGTGGTAAATAATAACCATTTTGTAAACCATGAACTGTAAACATTTGGGTAAATGATTTCGGACAACTTTTAAAGGTCCCATCTACAAAAATTGTATCAACTTTACTCAAAAATTTTAAGTTTCAGTAGAAAATAATAAAATGTTTGATGTGTTGTCATTTACAAGTAAAAAATTTTCGTTACGATTTGTAACTAATAAATGACTCATATTATTTAGAGAGATGTGTAATTCATTCAAGTCCACAGGTAACTTTGACTTAATAGATGATCGAGCATGGTGAATATTTTTTCTTATAAATCGTATGTTGTCAAAGTGTTTACGTCTTGTGTTAGGTGGCTATGAATAATTTTACATGACTTCTCATTAATATCATCAACAGCTTTACGTGATTACTTGTAAACAGCTTCACTTGATTACTTACAGTCTGCCTATTTAATGTTTCAACACACATCTTTTTCGTGGTTTTCGTGATTTAAAAATATTTTAATAATTACGTTATTATTTAAATGAATATATGCTTTACAAGTCTTTTTAGTACAGCAATATCGATCAATATCATTTTTTAAATTTTTATGGAAACGAAATTTATATCCATCGATTATATATATACTACGATTTTTTTCACTTAACATTTCACTCAAAATCTCAACATTCGACATTATAAATAAATTAAAATAGAACAGCACAGAAAAACACAGAAAAGCGACAGAACGTTCTCAATGGTAGTAAAGCGGAGACTAAGGTATACTTATTGATATCTACGTTATACCGGATTATAATTTATCAGTCAAGATTAAATTATCTTGAGTAAAGGTAGCCACACACGGTTCGGTCGGCCTGTCAGTTATGCCTGCACAGGCCGCCGGAGACCGGTCGGCCGGACTAACGCAGCGCTCACATACGTTCCGGCGAATCTGTCCGGCCGCGGCAAGTTCGTATTTATTTTATACTGTAGAGACATGGCTACCAACGAAGACGCGCTTGCTGTTTTAGGGTTGTTGATAGCCATGAAAAATAATAAAATTAAAAAACGTCCCTTTTGCATTTATCATGGTATTCTCTAGATTTTATTTTCCACAAACAATGTTCGCTTCGGTAAATATTAATAAAATCTTCAATACACTGAGATTCTTTCTCTCGAGACATTTTTTAATGACAAAACTTCACAAAAGTGCAGAGCAGTGCAATATGCAGTGTAGTATAAACACGTGGACTGTGAAATAAAATTAAACCGTCTGGCAATTTGGCCGGACGGCCGGAACCCATACACGTTTCGATACGCCTGCGCAGTCCCGCGGTCGACCGGATGGACGAACGAGTTTTCATATTTTCTCCGGCGGCCTGAACAGATATAACTGTTCAGGCGACCGGAACCCACAAACACAACGGCCGACTGGTCTCCGGCGGCCTGTGCAGGCATAACTGACAGGCCGACCGGACCGTGTGTGGCTACCTTTAGAAAACCCGGGCCGCAACTCGTCTGTACCCAAAATAAACTCTGTCCGCAATTCGAATTAAACCTTTTTTCGTTGATATCTTTGGGACACAATTAGTATGCTGCCGATCTATCACCCCCCAGAACCTTTTTTTTTATTAATTTCACTTTTCTTATTTTTCTTTTAAATGCTTGAGCCGTAAGTCTATATTGGATTTTTAGTATTTCTTAGTATTCCATCAGTCTGTTATCAATAGAAGTTAATAATAAACATAGACAGTTGTAGACAATATAATTATTATTAGTTTCAAGAAAATCATGAACATTAGATAATTATGATGAATTATTATTATTATTATAGTTTAATATCCAAATGTTCATAGTTTATATATCTATTAATCAATTATATCTGTGATTATTTAATTTATACTATATTAACGATAGTGCGTAAACCATGTGTTCAGTGTTGACATTTGCTCTCAGTCTTTTCGTGTAATCGTGTCTCGTTTAAAATTAACCGATCGGTGAACAGAATTTTGACATTATTTTGATATTATTTTGTGTTTTGACTTATACTTATTATGAAAATAAATGTAAAAATATTATTAATGTTGGTATAGTTTTAAATAAAATCATGTTATATAAAAGTGCACTTTACGGAAACTGGAAAAGTATGATAACAAGATCCTCCTAGAAGATATTTGCCCCCTTGACTCCAAATGTACAAAATAGTTATGGTTATATCACCTCCTAGAAAAAAAAGATACGCCACTGTCTGTAATATAGATGTAATGTATATTTGAATATTCGAATACTCGAATATTGGTATTCGATGCTACAATACCTATTATTGTTAACCGTTTTGTGTTGCGTGAAAACATAAACGAATAATTTTCACGTATTGTATTTTAGCATCGAATACTGATATTCGAATGGTCGCCACGGACGCGTGGTTATCGCAGCAATCCCCATCATCGAAAGCGTATATCCAAATACCGCATTACCGCCGTAATCGCGATAATGTTAACCTGTATATATGTAATTAGTATTGTGCATTATTTTATATTTCATATTGTATTATCGATTTACCTATGTTCCTATAATAATGTAATATATGATACAGCTCAAGGGGGGTGTCATATCCACCAAACACCCCCCTTGTATACGCCACTGACTGCAGCTTTTACGATAACAGTAATCAATAAATCTATTTTTAAATTAACTATGCATGCCGTATACAATCATAATTTTACCGCTACTTGCGGCTTGCATTTGATTGTCGCTGTCGTATCGTTCAGATTAAAATCATCTTGTGTTGATAATATTGTGTTAAAAATATTATATAACATTGATATTTTATCGAATAAATTAAGTAATCGCATATTTGTTTTTCTGCACTTAAGAGAATAAAAACTTGGCTGCGGTGCAACATATTACAAGAAAGACTTTCTGGATTGGCGATTATACATTGTCATCGAGATCAACATATTGACATAGATGAAATGATAGATATATTTTCAAAAAATAATAGAAAAAAAGATTTTAAAATGGGAAATATTTTATTAATTAATTTATATATAATATTTATCATATATAATAATTAACGGTAATTTATAAAGATTAATAAGTTTTTTTAATTAAATACATTAAGTTCTTCATTATCTAAAATATAAACACCTTTTTTTTAAATAGATGATATTTTTTTAGCCTATAACTAATAAATTGCACCCCTCCCTCCCGTGTAGGGCTTCTGTATTCGCTCCTATCGTAAGGACTTACATCCTTTATATGTCCGTAACAATATTTTTATATTTATATTTTTATAAGCATATTTTTATCTATAGTATTATCTTAAATCAAGGTTAAGATGTTAATCATTTAATATAGATATAGAATCACATGTCTCAGGAATTGATAATTTATGTTGATAACACAAATCTGTGAACTATAGTGAACCACACGGAGTTACTGAACTATGGCACACTGATTCAATTTATTTAGTTCACTTAAGAGTCAACTCTTCATTTCGACTCGCTCACGAATTATCCATCCCTATCACAAAATAGATTAAATTTAATTTAATCTATTCTGTGGTATGAGAATAATGCCAAAATGAAGTGGATAACCCATAGAAAAGAGATATCGTTTGGCGGATTTTCCGAAATGATATCACTGAATAGATTTAGCACGGAATAAAGTGGTTAAAAAATTTTATATTTCAGTCTATTTCGTGACCATTCCACGGTCATAATATTATTCGAGGAAGTCAAACAATCTGTACTCTGTTGTTATATTCACTAATTGCAGTACATATGTTGCAGCCTTTAACTGCTGGAAACTTGCCGTATGACTTAAAACGCTTTTCGTGGGTTGCTCAACTCGCAGATCGATTCAATCATGACTACCCTCTACGAAAAATTGATGAAAAACATGAATTCGCCGATTCGATATCACAAAATCGTCGCTGAGGGTTTAGACCTGGACTATTATGAAAGATTTTTGACTGGCCCTGAAAGCAGTGCGCTAATGGAGTACATGGAGAACAATGTGTGTTACTTGGATGGCCGATTGACTCAAGTGAAAGTTTTCGGACAATACTACCCGATACCCAGGCAACAGGTCGCATTTGGCGACGAGGGTGTGTCTTATAAGTTTTCTGGTACAAACGTGCCAGCTTTACCATGGCCACAACCGTTGTTTGAGCTGAAGAATAAAATATGTGTTGCCAGAGGAGTCGATTACAATTTCGTACTTGTCAACAGGTAATGCTTATTATGGATGTCAGAAGTCTTTTATTGTATTGGGAATTTCATTTAAGGTACAGGAATGGTGAAGATCATATGGGTGAGCATCGAGATGATGAAATTGAATTGGATAAAATGGTACCCATCGCGTCAGTGTCTTTAGGACAAACAAGGAAATTTGTGTTCAAACATACTGATGTTCGAAAGAAATTAAGACAGATTGAATCTGTCAAATTAGATTTACATAATGGCAGTCTTTTAATGATGAATTGGCCAACCAATGAATATTGGTATCATTCGATTCCTAAAGAAATAAAAGCTAATAATGTTAGACTGAATTTTACATTCCGTAAAATTAAATGATTTAAATTTTTTTCTTATTACGATGAAGGTAATCTTATGAATATAGCTAATGTAAATCATCTTGCATTAGTCTTTAGCTAATGTTAATATTTTGATTTTTACATTCTGTTTTGTATATTATATGATATATAATTTACTTTTCCTTAACTTATTAAGTTATTAATGAATAGTTGTGTTCTCTACAGGGATTTTTCATAAACTGAATTAACACTTATGAGTTATTTGTTTTTTATTCTATGACTATTCATTTAAAAAAATATACTAAAACCTAGTGTACTATTCTAAATGTTGTCTGTTGATCTGGTGGATAATGATTTCTTTATTTCTTATTACATCATAAAATCAATTTATAATTATAAATAAATAAACAAATAAGACAAAAAAATATTTCAAGTAAAATTTTTTTTTTCATTTATTCTTAAAATGCAAATATTAATTTTTATAAAAATAGTAGACTTATCAACAACTTTTGTTAAAATTCTTCATTTATTGAACATTTAATTTTTAATTTTGAAGTTAAATAAATATTTATATTTTTAATAATTTCAAAAATGAATAAAAGAGAATACAATTTTTTTTATAAACTGTTAGATATATAAGTAAAAAAAAATAATAACAGGTTGATCCATGTGTGGAAATTGATTTTGAGATTAAGTGTGGTACAATAATTTTATTGTAAAGATACTATAAAGTTGTATAAGATTAACCCATAAATTTGTATGCAACCTCAACAATTATATTACAAATTAACATAATTAGTAAATAATTGATTGGTCAAAAATCTAGTTTTAGAGGACACAAAAAATAATTTTCTTTATCCGAAACCAAACAGAAGTCTTGATTAATATTTTTCATACTTGAAAATTAGTTTTTTTTTTACTTATGTCTATAGAGTAAACAACAAAATATAAAAACTTAGAAAAGTATGATATTTTCAAATACATAATTATAATCAGTTCAAATTTATTATTATTTTATTTTTATTTGTATTTAATGGATTTTATAACCCAATTACAAGTGTAGTATTAAACAAGTGTTAAAACTTAAAAATTAATTAAGTAATTAAAAATTAAATATAAATTAATTTATAAAATAGTAACATATATATTTAGTTAGTTTTATTTTCTCTCTATCATTTTTAAGATTGTTTGGATTTGTTGTATTTATGACATATTTATAAAGTTTATGCTGTTTGAAGAAATGTCTAGGATTTGTATAACGGAGAATGCATAAAAAAAAGTTTATTTTGCATATAAATGCATATTTTAAAGATAACAATATAATATTAAAATATATTTTGTATAAAAGTTCATTAACCCAATTATTTTTTTTCTATTTCACTGTAAAAATTAAATTATGAATTATCAAACGTACCACTTAACAAAGTTTCTATTATAAGAACTAAAATATCTCAATTGTGTTACAAAAATTAAGGAATTTAAGCATTGGAATAAATCAAATTATTTATATCGGTAAACAATGAAATGCAGCTTCCAGAAAAAAATGTACTACCTATTTATTCTGTAGCCAGTATGAAGTATATGTCAAACCAATCAATATATGTAGAAAGATCGATTATTCTTATAAATACATATTAAGTGATAGAGGGATAAATATGGCGCTTAAACACATGGCAAAATATATGATTGTGAATTATTTTTATAAAAAGTAAATATCATAAATTGTATTTATTTACTAAAATGTTTTCATTAATAACCAAATTATGTTTTATAAAACTTTAATAATCTTTTATTTCGTAGATATTTATAAAAAAAATGATTGAAATGGTATAAATGGATTAACTTTATTTTTATTTTTTTTTTGTTCTTTAATTAATATTGTTAGTTATCTGTACTTGAAATATTATGTTTATCTAATTGAGTTTCTTTGATATTTATGGAGAAAAAGTACATATGAATGCATTTTGGGTAAGAGTATATTTTTTCATTTTATTAAAAAGAATAGGTTTATAGATAATTTATTGAGTTATTTTTTATATGACATATTAACTAATAAGGAGGTTCTAGATAAAATAAAGTATAGAAAAGTATGTAATTCAGAAGATGCAAGATGATAAGACACATATATTAGAGCATGACCAAAGGCAAAATGCATAACCCAGATAATGCAGGATATAAATAATAAAAATTACAAAGACCTGAAAGGATTGTGTTATGCTAGAGCTGCATCAAATCTATGGATTTATATATAAAAAAAAATGGCATATTGTTTTCTAGTTCATTAATTAAAATATAGTTGGTATGTTTTATAATTACACTACATTATCATAAGAGCATTGAAAAAAATTATAAACACAAGTATATAAATGTTCCTTGGTATTGGCCAATATATATAATTTCATAAACTATTAAATGAATACAAATGAACAGAAAAAAATTCTAGTTGAATTTGTAAGCAAATCGCCCAACAATGAACTAATACAGTCGAGTTGCGATAACTCAAAAAACTTGACAACTCGAATTGTGTTTTATTCCCCTAGAAAATTCTTCCCCTATAAATTAGTTAGATATCTCAAAGTGAATTTTTATCCTCCTTCAACTTCGAGTTATCGTGATTCGACTGTATAATAATATTGAATGAACACATATTTCAATTAAAACATCTAAGAACCATTATTGTTTTAGGAGTGAGTGCTTGTGTGCATTAAAATGGCAAAATTATATTTATAATAGTTGCTAGTATAACAAAGAAAAAAAAATTACAATGTTATAAAAATAACTACAATGTTTCACTTGCCTAACAATATTAAATTCAATAACAATATTATTTCAATAATATGTGTCACAACACACACTTGGTGTTTTTAAAAGGCACATCAATAGACATGTTTATTTAAAATATAAACAAACGACTAAGTTGAACTAAATTCACAAATTAATCATACGATATGTGTAACAAAATAATACATAATAAAAGTAGCAATTTTAATAATAATACAAGATAAAAATACAAAAGATATTATTATAACAACTTATGAGTTAGATAACTATTATCTACGAGTAGTCATTTTGGTATCTACTGAAATATATTTATATCTCTAAATAATTAATACAAGATTTTTGATACCACTAAATTGAAACAATAATAAGTAACTTATAATACTGAGTCATTTAGTCGCAAAGTAGAGACATATAATTAAACAAACGACACATTGAAATTTATGGTTTTGATTATTTGGGCCGATAACTTTGGTAAAACATATAATCTTCATATTTATCAGCAAACAAATTTACAAAAACATAATAACTATATATACATACATATATATATATATATATATATATATATATATATATATATATAGTATACACGTAAATAATCTAAAATTAACATAAAAGACAGTCTTTTGGCAATGTAATGTGTTAGTAAAAATAAATAGCAATTACCTTGAACATAATAATACTTAAAATAATAATAATAAATTCAACTAATTCAAAAATATACAAGAAGTTAAATTGTAACAATATGAAACAACCGTGACTCATGAGCAGCACACAATTTTTAGTAAAATTCTTATACATCATATATAAAATAATAATAGTAATAATAAAAAAAAAACAACTATGTCACTTAATCGGGATGTTTATCGATGTTTTGAAAGAACCAATGGGTGAAATGTTTAAGCTGTTGTGCAGCACTGTTAGATTCGTCTTGTAGGCGACGATTTTCTTCTCGCAAATGCTTAACTTCATTTTGTAGTTCCATACGCATTTCCATTTCATTTCGTAACATCATTTCTAAATCCTCCGGGCTCATATTTGTTCTATAAGATTTAAAAATGGATTATAAATATATTCTTACATATCTTTGGAATTTGGGTACAGATTTTAAAAAATACAAATAAAACCATTTACTTGTTCGTACTAGAAGAATTCAATAAAGTAACACCATTCATACTACTCCAACAGTGATCTCTATTTTCATTATTAGTAGTTTCTGGTTCTTTAGTTTGAGCACCAGCAGAAACTTTACGTAAAGCTTCAGTAGCCGTGTCCACAAGAATTTTCCAATTCATTCGGTCAATTGGAGTATCAGGTAATGGTAATTGTGTAACACTTAAAAAAAATGATGTCATCAATAAAAAGGCAATAAATCAATAAATAAAAATTATAGCTTATATTAACACGTTTACTGTTATGTGTACATTATCTTGTATACGTTAAAATTGCCATTCATATACAGGTATTTTTTTGTATGTTTGCCAAAATATAAAAAGAAATTTTTTTATCCTTTACTATAATTTTTTGTTATTTGGCATAACGTTTTATAGTATTTTTAAAAGACATTCCACATGGAAAATTCAAAATGTTGAACGTGTCAAAATAATGTATCTTGGACTCCTAAACCAGACCCAATAATTCTTTAATTATTAAGTTATTACCATAGTATTATTTAAATACATATTTAGATTATTAATGTAAATTAATACATATATTTCAAAAATGAATATAATTAGTAATACGTAAAATTCAATTTTTTACTATATATTTCTAAGTTTTTTTTTTTTTTTTTAAGAATAATATTATATAATAGTGGTATAATAAAAATTATATTCAAAATTGTATTTTATTAATATTTATTAGAAAATACATATACAATTCAGATGTTTACAATTGGTCAAAATAAAAAGAAGATTATAATAGGAACAAATCATGCTGTGTTCGTTAAAATTACAGAAATGGTCTTAGATGGATGAGATTCATATTCCTATCTAAAATCAACAGTACTGTGTCAGGATTTTGTACATGGAGATGATAAGTACAAAAAATTCAGTGTACATAATAATATACATGAAAGCAAGTTTGGCAATTTATGAAGTGTACACAAAAATGTACACATGGCCTTCTGGGCAATGTATAAAAAAAGTAGGAGGCACTTAACGTTTTAAGACATAAAAACATTAATATTTTAGTTCTATTATTATTTTTCAACAGTCTTAATAGTCAATAATACCTTTCAATTAGATTTAAAGGTTTCATTTCACTTAAAGCTGGACTTGGTGCACTAGATATCACTGTAGCAGGACGAGCTTTGGTAAGAATAACTTGACCCTGCTCTACATTTGATACATTTTCTCTGGACTGATTCTTATTAGTTGTATTATTTGTATCCTGTTTTTGACAATGAATGATTGTGTTAGTAATAGTTTAATTTGGTTTAAATTTTTAATACTTACAATAAAAGATGAATCTAAATTATAATCAGGGTCTATTAATTTCATCAGATCTTCTTGTAATGTACTCATATTTCCACTAAGTCTACTACTAGCATTGGAATTACGTCCAGAAATACCAGGTCTAAGTCTTGGTTCCCCTCGATCCATTCCAGAACGAGGACTTTGATTTCGACTACCACTGTTTTTTATACTTTTACGGTGACTATGAGGTGAACCAGTACTACTACTTCCAATTGTAGATAAATCATCTTGAAAAGTGAAAGAGTATGATTTAATTGAACTTCAAAAAAATTAATTATGTTTCTCATTAACATTTACTAAATAAATACCTTCACTGGCAACTAGAATTCTTTCATTTAAAGTTTCCGGTATGTTCCCATTACTCAAGTTTTTTTTAAAATTATTGCTGTCAATTAAACCATTTGTTTTTTCTAGTTCTGGACCACTTGTTGCCTGCAATACAAATTAAGAAAAATGTTTTACTATTTATTTTATTTCTAAATAATAATGTTACTAACCTTAACTAATCGTTTTGTTGATCTTCGTGGTTGTTCTAAGCGTTCATCAAATTGTCTATGGAGATCATGATTGTGGTCAGGTGTTTTATTAACATAATCATACTGTTGAGCAGCTACACTTTTACTAGAACGAGGATCCGAATACACAGAAAATGAATTATTCATAGTGGATAATGGCAACGAATTGCTTGCATGGACTTTAGAATGAGTTTTGGTTGATGTAGGAGTTAATCTCATGGGAACAGGTGGAGGATCTTCTAATGGCACTTCCAACAGATCGTACCAACGATCATCCGATGAATGGCCACTTGAAGAACTCGTCAATGTACCCTGTTATGACATAAATTAACTTGAATATGAATGTTCTATCTAACACAATCTTTATACAACTTACCTCAGGATTTTGGGGAAAACGAGAATCCATGGGTGTTGTATAGGATTTATTACTACCCATGGTACCATAACCAGAACTATTGCTGGATCTAGGTGGTGACAAGCTGCGCTCATACCTATCAAAATCAAAAACTGTTAAGTCTTACAGATCTAATTACATTTTTTTCAATAATGAATACATACATTTTTCGATGATTTCCAGTAACTGGTTGTTGTAGAGCTGTTTGTTTTCTAGGACTAGTAACAGTTGATACTCCTGCAACATTTTCATATTCGCTCTCATACCCTTTTGATGAACTACTGTCAGTACGATAAGAACAATTCTGAATATGACAACCTCTGAAATACGAATGTAAAAATCATTATAGTTTTATAACCTATTATTATATCACACAGCATATACCTTCGAGGAGAACCATCAGAAAAAGGAGGAATCACAGTGACTGTGACAAGAACACTAGTCTTCAATAAATCCACCATTTGATCATGAGTAAGTGTAGCAACAGCTATTTTGCATATCTATGATCCATCATCATGAATGAATTAAAAATTATTTTTATGTAATATGTATTTTATAATTAACATTTTCTTACCTCTATAAGTCTGGAGTTTTGCCTGAGACCAGCTTCCCACGCAAGACCAGATTTTTCCACTTGTGTTACTAAACCATCAGGTTGAACATGAAAACCAAGTTGACCTAAAGAGTTACGATGTAACGATAGTTCCTGGGCAACAGAACCCTGTGTTACTGATCGTAATCTAACTACAACCTCCATCAATTCATCTCTGTCGCCATCACTACAACCTTCATGCATATGTAAAGTAACACATTCTCCCTCATGGTAGTATATTCGTAAGCTATAATTACAATAAAATATTATTATAATTATTTTATATAAGTTAAAAACATTCAACACACCTGTTAGTTTGTGTTGTCCAACCCAATATAGATTTACATGGTATAACTAATAATATGTCATGATTATTTTCTTCAACAAGTACCATGGAGTCTGATGATATTGCCAGAAGACAATGGCCACCAATAACACCATTTCCTTCTTCTAACACTACTTGCCAACAAATAGCACCTCTTTGGGATGCATCTGGCTGAAATCTAGGCCGCCATCTTTCTTTTTTTTTACTGCTGAATGATAACATTGCTGAAAATATTATACAAATTAAAGTTTATCTATTTATTAAACAATTGAAAATAAAATTAATTTACAAAATTTTTGCACAGGTTCAATGGTTGTATTTGTAGAATGATTTAATGTTAAGTCTTTTAAATAAGCTTGTCTTGTACGAGTTGCCATTGTTGCGAATTTTTCAGATCGATGAGCAGCATTCTCGGCATTAATAACTGTTAATAAAATTATTATATAAACAGTATTAATATTAAAATGTTATTGTAACAAATAAATTATAAATATTTACTTTTAGCTAGTAAAAAATCACTAAATTCTTTGGATTTTTTGAACACAGCTTCTGATGGAATTGGAGGACCAAACATTTCCACTTCTTTAGACCGTGTTACTGCGACACTAAAATTATAATTGACTAATTATAGAAAACACTTATATCAAGTTAATTTATAAATCATTACCTATACTGAGTATTTTCTGTACATGGATTTATGACTCTAACAACAATAAATACATGTTGAAATTGAGATCGTATGTTTTTTGGAGAAAATGGTTGAGCTCCAGGTTCTTGAAATACAATTGTAACAATATCATTTCCAATATGCCGTTTTCGAAGAAGCTATTTGATGTTGAAAAAAAATTATTATTTAAAATTTATTTTTACTATAAAAATATAATTAATTTACCTGTTGCCTATTATTAGGAGTGAAAGGTAACATAGTAGAAACATGGAACATAATTTCAGAGTTTTGAAACTGACTATAGAATGAATAAAGTCCAGTGGAGTCAGCTATAATATATTAAATATATAAATAATGTCTTGAAATAATTTTAACTTTAAATATTTCCACTTACTCTTGTTATCTAATCCTGCCCTATATTTATTGAAACCCTTAAGACGTACTCTTTGAGCAATACTATCCATAAACTGATAAAATGCTACACCAGCTTCTTCATTGTTATACATGTGTTCTTCCGTAAACTGTCCAGCTCGACAATACATTACTCCAACTTTGTAGGTATGAGAAATACCTTGTTCATCAAGACCTAACAATAATTCTTCTACTCTGTTGCTTGATACACCCAATCTTAAACTAGAATATTCAAATTTGATAGTTAAATTGTGTTGATAATGCATTTGAAGTCTTCTTATATTTACCATTGAAGAGGGATTTCAGGAACAATATATTCAAGAACATCTTTTGTATTGATGTGTTTAGAACTACTGGACGGTTTTATGTTAGGAATAGCATCTTCAAGAATAGAACCGCGAAGAGTTTGTAACTAAGAAAATTATAAGTAAAAAATTATTAATATTAGTTTGTGATTTTTGATTATTTTTAAATATAATTTATTTACCTCGCTTGTTCGAATAATAATTCGGTATCTAAATATAACTGATGGATTTAAACTACAACCATTAGTTGTTAAATCAGTTTCAACTCTTTCTCTTTTTAAGCTTATAGCAACAGGCCCTAATGTTTCATCCATTCCAAACCAGTTTTGGTGTTCTGAAAATAATTTAATAATTTATCAATTTAATGAAAAAATGTTTAAAAAATTAATAGTTTAATAACTTAAGTATAATGTTATAAATATTAACAAATATATTGTAAACTAATTTAATACAATAAGATTACTGAATTAAAGTACTAAAAAGAAAAAAAGAAAAATTTATAGATTTCTTACCTTGACCAAAAAAAAACGAGCGATAGTATAAATCTCCCTCATCAGTGGTTTCGATCAGCTTGGAATAGTTTTCAGGACAGATTCCATCAGTCCAGTGTGTCTCTCCAGATTGAAACTCAAGGACTGATATACCATAGGCCATACGTGGTCTGTGGTATAACATGCCATTATTTAAAGTGGATACTGGTCCAGCTTGAGTCCTCTGCGTGAGACTTACTTCTCGTTCACCCTCACCTCCGAGTTCATTCCGGAAGAATGGACAGCTGTAACATTATGTATTTTCGTTAAATATTATATCATAATTCAATGGCTATAAGTTTTCAGGTTTCATACTTGTCCAGTAAATTATTATGTTTCCCATCACCAAGGTCTTCTTCACCACTATCTGGCGTAGACGATTTAGCGGACAGCATCGAAGCGGCAGAAGCCCCGGTGGCCGTGTTTCGTCTTCTGGACAAAATGTTTTGTAGTTTTGAAGCCAGTCCTACTGTGGCCGTCAGCGATTGGATATCGTAATGAGCGAATCCTCTTCGCTTCTGGCGTTCGTCGCCCGAGAAATCGGCACAGTTGACACCAGTCATGTTAGACGTAGTAGTACTAGACAAACCGACGGTGTCATCCGTGGTCCTGGAGAACTTGTTGTTGGCTCCCCAGAACTTGTGGAACTTCAATCTAAGTTTAGGGCTGCTGGAATTCGGTCCTGGAGGCGACGTAGGCGCTTTTTCGACGGTACTACCGCTGTTGTTACCAGTAGTAGCGGCCGTTAAGCGATCGTCTTGCTGAGTGTCGACCGCCATCTCTCGGTAACCGAATTCTCGATTGATATCTAAACAAACGAGGATAAAAACGAATGAACAAAAAAAACGAATAAAACTGTAACAATAGCGCTCGTGTCGTCCACCACTCACTGTTGCCGTCGATCATGTCCAACACCGCCGGCCGATAATCTTGGAGCATGGCGAAAAAGTTTTCACCGGTGGACGCTCGGCCGGCCGAATTCCTGTCCGAAGCTATGACGTCTATGGAACCGTGGCTGCCGTATTCGCGTTTCAACAGCGGGCTGATGAGCGGACGATCCGTAGCCGCGGCCCGGGAATCGACATAGGCCGTGCTGCCGCCAAAGTGACCGGTGCCACCGCCGCCGCGGTGATGATGGTGTTGGGGCTGCTGCTGGTGATGGTGATAGTCCGAATGGTGCGTGAGCTCCAGACTGGAGTTGCTCCGATACAACGGATCCGGGTTAGACCTCTGCTGCCGCGCCGACGACAGGCCCGCATTGGTCCGGGCTCGCAACACGTTACTGTTGTAATAGTCCATCGCTTGAGCCGCATGTTGACGTGTCGTACTAGCGGTGGTAGTGGTGCTGTTCCTCGTGCCTCCTTCTAGGCCTATCATCACAGCCCACTACGGGAAAAAATAAAAATCGTATTGCATAAGTACAGCGCTGTGAAAACGATTACCAAAATATGATTGTATGCACGGTATTATTGGTACATCCCGGTGTTTGACCTCACAGAGCGTTTAAATAATCGTTTCAGATTTTGTACGCGAAAACAAAAAAATACATAAAGTGTTTAAAAATGTTTTAATAATATATAAATTATCGCACTTATGTAAAGTATCACAAAACTTTGACTTTATACGTATAGTGATTGAAATTCTTATAGACAATATCACAAAATACGTAAGGAGTGTTAAAACAAAATATTAGCTCAATCAGACAGGAACGAAGAAATTTGACTTGTTTCAATTTAAATTTTTTGCTCAAAACATATACAAAATTGTATACAATGAAACTTGACTTAACAGACAAGATGACCAAATCCCGGCAAAAAGATATGTATTCCAATGTATTTAGACCTGTTCATAATGGGCTCCTAATGGGTATTACAGACACGGACCCTATGATTTCATAACGAACAAAAATCGTGGAAAAAATCCAAAATGTAATATCATATGTACACACTACGAAACAGCATCATTACGGAGAGCAATTACGAATACGTGAAAACACGGATTACGATAACAAAGTTTGTGAAGTTGAGAAAAATTTATCAGAACTAAATCTAGATATAAATCGCAATACGTATAAAAGATGGTATAACCATAAGTAATTATAATGTTTTTATTCAGTTTCTATCGGTTCGCAGTTGTACATATTTTTCTTAGCAATGGCATTTCTCGTACCGCGTCAATCTTTCAATTTAAAAGAAAAGGTAGAGATTATTCGTTATAAGGACTAGCGATTTGTCTATAAATATTAAACTTAAATTTATAATGTTATGTACACAGGCTCGGCTTAAGGAGTAGGCGACATAAGCCCTCGCCTAGGGCGGCATTTAACATTTTTATACTATAGATAATTTAAAAAAAACATTACAATTCCTAGTACCTACCTACTTATAAAAAATTATGTCTAGTAATAAATAAGTTAATTTTATAAAATGTTTAATTTTATTTAAATTAGTAGTAGTTTACTTGTTTGCAAATGTATAGACAATTGATCTAATCAAATTTTAACTGAACATAAATAAATTTATTGAACTTAAAATAAAGTATACTTTAGTATTGCTTATGTAAAAAAATAATTGTTGATGTAGTATTTACGTGTAAAGGGCAGCAAAAGTTAAGTTTCTCAAGGTGTGTTTGAGCCAGGACTGTATGCAGTGGCGGTCTAGCCAGGTCGGCGAGTTGGCAATCGCCGACTGGGCCCTCACCGCCATATCCGATTGAGCCTCTTTTTTTTGTAGATATTATCTTAAATCGTGGTAGGTAGTCGCATAGTATTTTTAAAATAAATACCATGTGATAAAATAATAATATTATGAAACTAAATTACTTGAACCACGAAAACGCAAAGAATAGAAGAACTATTGGATAATGAAGTTGCAGAAAATGACTCTATAGCAGTATAGAATACAGATTTTTCGTTTAATAACTGACAAATTATTTAAAAACCCGTTTAAAAATAAGAATATTTTGCAAGCATTAACATTTTTTGACCACAATAAATTTACAGGTATAAATAACAAAATATTAATGATAATGAAAGATTAATGATAACTAATTATTTAATTATAATAATTATAATTATAGGAATTACTACACATTTCAAAGAGTAGCTTAGAAGCAGAAATGAGAGTGGCATTTTATGTTTTAAGTAGTAAAAAAAAGATTTCAATATAAATGATGTCAAAAAAATTGCCGAAAAACAAATATTTCCAAACCTTTTTAAACTTTTACAAGTGGCTTTATCTATTCCTATAAGTTCAGCCACCTGTAAAAGATTGTTCTTTTCAATGAGACTAATAAAACATTGGCTTAGATTTTCCATGACCTAAGATCAATTTACAAATTTATCTATTTTAAATATAGAGAGATGTAACTAACAAATTAGACGTAAATGAAATTGTAAATAAATATTTAATAGCTATGAACTGCATATTTTATTGATTATATATGTATATCATTCTTATTCATATTTATTTAGGGAGCTAGTCTGTAAGTCAAAAGTGACTAAGTGACAACATTTTACTTCGAAAGAGTATATTATAGTCGTATAGGTACGTATCTATACGTATACGTTACTATAATAATTAAATATACATATAGCATACGACTAGGTCGTAAGGACCTATAAATATAAATTTTAGAGTTGACAATCAATATTGGGGGTGTGAGGGCAAAGCCCCCATGGGTTGCTGGTATCATTAAAATTTAGTCCACCCAGATATTGAACTCTAGTTGCGCCTATGATCATACATATGCATTTACTAATTTATACTGGGTATATATATATAAACAAGTATATTTTATCACTTTCATGTACTCAAGTGCATTATGAATGGTCATCTTCAAAATTAAAATTTTTAAAACAAGAATGAGATCATTATTGAATCGAGAACTATTAGAGCCTCTTCTATTTATTAATATTGAAAGTGACATAATTCCTAATATAGAAGAAATAATAAACTGTTATGCAAATTCGTCTTCAGAATTACAAAAATTACTTTACTGTTTAACTATATTAATAAATATTATATGTTATTTATTTAAATATTTGTTTTACAACATTCATCAATTTATATAGTGCAGTAAATTAATTTTATATAAGATTTCAAGTAAAAAAAATTTGCTTTATTTAACAATGCGGTGGGAGACACTGAAGAAACATGGCTTAGCACACACTAATTAATATTAATAAAATACTAAACCAGGTTCCTTATTATAATACGTAAGGATCTAGTAAGTAGACTTCACGCAACAGTTACGTAGCGATAATGAGAATAATACACATATCTATTTATGTTATTTATTTTTATCATTATACCCAAGGGGTAAAAGTAATAAAGGGAACCTAAAGTAGAATAAATTTTTGTAGGTACTTACAAAAATAGTTAGGTAGGTACATATACATTTTTTTGAAAGAGGTTTTTAGAACTTCAAAACAATTATCTAGTTATCTTTAAAAATGTAAAACTGTAAAAAGTCTCATTACTATTTGCTATTGGCCACATTGGTGAGGGGCCCTTTTATATTTCGGCTGACCAAAAAAAAATGTACCCAAACCGCCACTGCCTGTATTTACAATATTAATATAGTAGGTGTACGTACAAAATTTTTCATTTCAGATACACATTTGTAATTTTACTTTTAAAACACTGAAACCTGTCTAAATAACGGACAATTATTATGGTCCTATGACTGTCCGTTATATACAGGTTTCACTGAAACTTTAATATGTATAAAAATGGATGTATTTTGCAGACGTTGCACAACTTGAGTTTATTGTGACTTGCGCGTTTACATGCAGTTTTTAGAAATGTACCGCACGTTCGTACACGCGCAGATAAGAAGGTCGACCGACGACATGAATTGCCATCGTGTGTATAACTAACTGCTAATTGTACGTGTTTCCGATTGAAATGAATAATACATCGTCTCTCGCATATCGACTTCAATAGTATTATTGGAAATGCCGCTAATGTATGAATAATACAATTTAAAAATTCTTCTCGAACGCCGCTAAAATATTTGAGAATAATAAAACAGAAGTTCCCAGAAAATTTTGGCACGCACGAAAACGATAGTAACACCATTACACTGGGAAATCTGTACAAGTACATTTTTCATATTTTAAATAAAAACAGATATTAATTAATTGGCTTATTTATTCGGTTTGAATTCTAACACTATTTAGGTACATACGCTCGTGTATTACGTATTCAAAATTTGACGTTTCAGAGGAATATTAAACGCGGTTCGATATGTATGTATTAATCAGGTTATTAAAAATAAAAAATTGTACACTAATACTACACATCATTTGACGTTAATATCATAAACATAATGTCATTGCTAATTTATACACAGACGATTGACAAAACACCATACTGACGTCATCGAAGATGATGTTAACGGGGTTTGGAATAAATAATAATAATTACTAATAAACATTCGATCCAACACGAAATAAAATTATTTAAAACTGGATAAATAAGAAAAGAAAACTCGTCACGAGCCGAGAGGTTTTAAATTACGCAACAACCGCTGCTGTGACACAAACGAAACAAACGAGTAATTTTCATTGTACCTGTAAAATATGAATAAATAATCACGAACCCGAAAGACTTTGACACAATAATAATATTCGATCGTATTCGTATAATATGCAAAGTGTATACTTAATAAGAGTCGTGACGAAGTTATTTTATTAAGAAAAAAAAATAACATAAAATGTAAAGAAAAAATTGATTAGGTCGCACATTCATTCCTACTGCAAATGGTATTTATTATTTTAGTGTTCATGGTCATTTCGTGTTCTATATGACACATTGATGGCGCGTCGTACACGCACGCGAAACACTACAAGAATTTCCGGCTCGACTCCACCGACAGTCATAACGGAAAATGTAAATGTCTCGAAAAATAATATACATACATTGGCGACATAAAAACAAAATAATGTTACTTGATCGATCGAATTTCGATGAGTTGTCATGCGATAAACGAGAATTTTTCTTTTAAATTGTTACCTCCAAAACAAGACGAAGAATTTGTTTGTAAACATATTTATTTTAATTTATAAAATATTTACAGCACTTGATATAAGCAAGTATATACGTAAATAAGTATACATAAGTATACATCGTATTACATCAGTTATATTAATAACTATATTATTATATAAATTTAAAGGTGTATTTATGAAAAAGGGCTGAGGAATTTCAAAGGGTTGGTAATGGTTATAATATATACCAGCATTTCCCAACCTAATGATCGCAAAAATATTTTGTATGAATGACTGTAAACTAATGACAAGGAAAATATCTCAGTTATCAAAATATAGTTATATAAATCAGAATTCAGTTTTTGCAGTGTTGAATTCAAGTATATTATAAAAT